TTAACTACAATAACATGGTTAAGGATGCGAGAACACACTATTTTTCTGAACTCATTACTACACATAAACACAATCCCAGGTTTCTGTTTAAGACTGTGGATCAGCTGGTAAACCCAACCCCTCCTTGTGCCTCAGCTGGAAGTAATGATGACTGTGAATTGTTTTTATCTTATTTTACCAATAAGGTGGTGTCAATCAGAGCCTCTATTACCCCGTGGCCTCTTACTCAGAGGTTCCTCACCAGCAACAAGAGAGTTTTAACCAGTTTTATCCCATCGACTTGTCTGAGCTTTTGAAAACAGTATCACAAATGAGAGTGTCCTCCAGCCCACTTGATGTAATACCTACAAAGTTTTTGCAGAAAGTAATAGATTCTGCCCCATTTGATCTCTGTTTTCAACAGCTCCCTATCTACTGGTTGTGTCCCTGATTATTTTAAAACGGCTTGCGTGAACCCACTTTTAAAGAAACCTGGTTTAGATCCCTCCCTCCCACATAATTTTAGACCAATTTCAAAACTGCCTTTTATTGCAAAGATTCTAGAAAGAATTGTGTCCAAACAGCTGCTCACTGTACTGGAAAATAACAAATTATTTGAAAAGTTTCAGTCTGGTTTTAGGAAGTACCACAGCACTGAGACTGCCCTGCTTAAAGTCACCAATGACCTTTTAATGTCTGCTGATGAAGGCATGTGCTCAGTCCTGGTACTCCTGGTACTCCTGGACCTTAGCGCAGCTTTTGACACCATTGATCACAACATCATGTTAGACAGACTTAGTCACTGGGTGGGGATCTCTGGTACTGCCCTAGAATGGTTTTCATCCTACCTGTCAAATAGGAAGTTTTGTGTGTCTGTAAACAACTATGTCTCTTCGTTCTGTCCGGTTAAATATGGTGTGCCTCAGGGGTCGGTCTTAGGACCCATTTAGTTTTCCTTGTATCTGCTTCCCCTTGGACATATTATCCATAAACATGGCATTTCTTTTCATATTTATGCTGATGACACACAAATATACTTGCCCGTCAGATCCACAGACTCTGGAATGCTGAGTTCACTTAACAACTGCCTTTGTGAAGTTAAAAAATGGATGTCAAATAATTTCCTCCAGCTAAACTCAGACAAAACAGAAATCCTGGTCATCGGGTCTCAGCAGATGGCAAATCAAATACTGCCATCTGCTGGTTCCCTAGTAAATCACATTAAGCCTGTGGCAAAGAACCTTGGTGTTTGGTTTGATAGTAATTTAAATTTCGAGCAGCACACCACAAAGCTTGTTCAATCATGTTTTTATCAACTTAGAAATATAGCTAAAATTCGATCTATGTTAACTTTTAAGGACACCGAGACCATTTTACATGCCTTCATCTCATCACGCCTGGATTATTGCAACAGCCTTTTCACCTGTTTAACCCAAAAATCTATTGATCGACTCCAGACTGTCCAGAACTCAGCTGCCAGGCTTTTAACCAGAACAAAGAAATATGACCACATTATTCCTATTTTAGCTTCATTACACTGGCTCCCAGTATGTTTTAGAATTGACTTTAAAATTCTATTGATCACTTTTAAAGCTCTTCATGGCCTCTCGCCTTGTTATATTTCTGACCTTTTAGTCCCATACGCACCAGCACGTACCTTGAGATCCTCGGGCAGAAGTCTGTTGTCTGTTCCAGAGTCTCGACTGAAAACTAAAGGGGACAGAGCGTTTGCTGTCAGGGCCCCGAGGCTCTGGAACAGCCCGCCCGAGGAAATCAGGTCGGCAGTGAACTCTTTTAAGTCCCTTCTTAAAACATACTTTTATAGGAGAGCCTTTCCCGATCTTATTTGACTTTATTTTATCCCTTTTATTTTATTGTATTTTACTAATTTTATATTAATCTGTATTTTAGTCTTTTCAATGTTTTCATGCTCTTATCTTGTTTTTTTGTATTATTCTTTACACTTGTTAAAGCACTTTGTAACTTGTTTTTGAAAACTGCTCTACAAATAAGGATTATTATTATATTATTATTATAAGACCACAAGCAATATCCTTCTTGCCAACAAAAATAAAATCGGCACCCACTGGAGAGGAGGAAGGATGAATTACTGGGCAAAATCGGGCAGTCGGCCCCTTCTGTGCTTTGGCTGTGAAGGAAGCAAAAAATGTCAAATAAAAATTCCACAATTATACATAACGTGTTTTGGTGTCCTCAAGGTAATGTGATATGTTGCAAAGTGTTGTCCCATTATACCATTTCAGGCCCCTGCAGCCAGTCGCACATAAGCACTTACCAGGGTTTAGGGTAATTGTTTTGGTTATATTTGGAATATTTCTTTAAGATGTTGACTGGTTCAATTATTAATTTGCGAAAAGGAAACTTTTTATTTTTTATGACAAGACTGATTGATTAAAAAAAACTTTTTTGAAACTCTTTTTAAATGGAAAATATTACATTAACAAATGCAAAATATCTAAGAAGAAACATTTCAAAATAGAATATAGAATTATATTAATGCATTATATGGTCTAAAGAACAGAGCAATTAAAAATAATTCAAATGTATAAAGATTTTTTTTTAAATGAATGCTTTTGTTGCTTGTTACATGATACCCCTGTGTATAGGGGAGACCGAGTATGGTTGCAACATGGGGAGAGTTATACCAACACGAATTCCATAAGACAGGCATCATGTGTTGGTACATTCAAAATATATAGAGAAAATACAAATTTTGGGGTAAGAAAGTTCATTTTTTGAATGAGTTATATTTTTTCTAGTATCTATACTATTGCAGATGAAATTGTATGACTCGTATTAGACTGAATTGTAGTTTCTTAGGCAACGTGATGCATTTTCCTATGTTAACACAGCTAGCTATCAATGGCTGACAGGGGTGGGGTGGGCTTTAACACTTCTTTAAAAAGTATTACAACCATCCCCTATAACAGGGCTTCGCAAATAAGTGGCATTCAGGGAAAGATTTTTTTTCAAGCCCTTATATGGCAGGCCAGATCATCATCAAATACTTCAAACTGTTAGATACTCTTGTGGATGTTTAGCTTAGCCGGTAGAGTGCGGGACTCTTGTTGGGAGAGTTGTATGGTTGATCCCGACTTTCTTTTTTTTTCACAAGAAAGCATGTGCTGCAGTGTGTGCGCGTTCCCGCGTTTGATCCACATTCATAAACCCTGAGGAAATTCAGGGGAATCCAATCACACGTTGACTGATAGCTTTTTCAGGAGGTGTGTCGAGCAAGCCAGAGACTCTTTTGAATGTCCTTCAGAACTTTTCAAAGTAAAAGCTCTCAATATACTCAAAATGAAGCATTGCTGCAAAAAACGTTCATGCGCTTTTAATTTCTAGGCACAATCACTTAAGAGGAAGTGATTATGTGAGTAAATGTTGTGCTGTCATAACTCTATTTCAACACCAGCCACTATCAATGTATTTATTTTTTATTTTTCTGCTATCAAAGCAATGTGGCCGTGGGCCAGGTGTTATTGCTGGTGGGCCAGCTCTGCCTAATGGCCGCCTATTGCCGACCACTGCCCTATAAGGACTTTCTTGATTTTAATATTTTTTACAGAGCGCCCTATATCTGAGCCCACAAAGCCTGCCGTCCATTCATTTGTCAGCACTGTGACCAGTGCTTGAAGTGGTGAAATTACTCCCCATTCACATGTTGGCATGTGGATCAGCACCCGATCTTTTCCCTGCTTAGTCTCCAATGATGGAGAGGGTAGAAAAGAGTACCGGCAGCTTGAGAGAAGTGCCAGTGCGCAAGAAAAAGTCCCGGTAAACTAAAAACTACTTACTACTACTACTACTACTACTACTACTTCTCTCTGGCCCACTTTAAGCACTGACTGTGACTCTGTTTAAGAATACACACACACACACACACACACACACAGTAACATGCATGCAGGTGTTTTTTTGGTTAGATAAAGGATGTACAAATATTTTCTTTAATTAGGTACATTGTAGTAGTGTTTATTAGGCTATTCATATGGTTAAGTAAGTTTGTTCTAGTAGACAAATTTACACACATGCAATTTATCAGACAGTCTTTTACAGAGAGAGAAAATCATTGTTCTTTTATTTCACTATAGGCCTACCTGTTTTTGAAGCATATCATATGGTGTGGCAAATGTTTTTGCTTCTTTTGTCTAATTGTTACAACGTACACCAGCTTGTGTTACAACCTACCCCTGTACTGGTGTAGGTTGTAACAAAGGAACACAATGTTTTGACATTAACTCCATGAAGTTTTTGCTTCTTTTGTCTAATTGTTACAACGTACACCAGCTTGTGTTACAACCTACCCCTGTACTGGTGTAGGTTGTAACAAAGGAACACAATGTTTTGACATTAACTCATGAGGTCTGTGATATTCTAGTTGCTTAAGCAAAAAGTGTTAGGCCTGCAACCATACCCGGTCTGCCCTAGCCTAGTTGTGTCATGCTTTATTATTTTGTCTTTTTGTGTAGCCTACTTTTGTTTTGGCTGAAGGTCTTTGTATGAGATGAATTCAAGATTCAACAAAGAAAATAAGTTAAGGATTCAGGGTGGACAATGGGAGTGGGCCACGGTGGAGTTTAAGTAGCCTATATAAAGCAGAGTTGATTGATGATTATCATCTTGTCACCCTACACCCACACAACAGCTCCCACTCCTTTAAAAGCACAGAGAGAAAGACGCTCCCATTTTTCCCGGGTTTCCCTTATTTCAAGGCCCTCTCCCTGCGCACCAAACTTTATTATGAATTATCGTCATACCCGGACGTTTTTCTGACGCCCATACTGCCACATCGTCTTTGAAACATAATCTTCACATACAATCCAGGCACTAGCCCACATACACTGTCAATCCACCGCAACCTGGCAACCCACAACCCGATCCAAGGAGCGTGTGCGCAGCTGCTTTCTGCGCAGGCACACCTGCAAATTTAAGCAGAGTTGGAGCACTTGTAACCCCTCCCCCTTCTATGTCAAAGCACACACGCATCTTTGCCCTTCTTCATTTGGGCTTAAGATGCACAGGCAGACAGCGCTCTTGAAGTTCAGCTGTTTAGCAGCCTCATACCTCCGAAAGATCAGAACTAACCAAACACAATGGGCTGTGTTCAAAGCTTCAGGGACCTGTGTGACCATCCAAAAAATACTAATGTTCGTATCAGTCTTCCAGCAGTTTGCATTGTGTGGCAAACAGCCATGATCATCTTATTTGGGTTTTTTATCCGTTACAATAAAGAAGCAGATCCGCACTGGGCAGATTACAGAAAAACTCAAAATATATCAAGTGACATTGAGAACGACTTCTACTACAGATATCCAAGTAAGTGTCTTCATCTTGATGTTCTTTTCTTTTTCCTATATTGTCTCTTCCAAATGTCTAATATCTCAGTCATCACTTTTATTTCTTAATATTGTTAGTCTAGCAACCCTTCGGTGTTAAACATCTTTCTATTATAATCTAAACATTTATATTTTATGCATCCACATTTGTGTACATTCAGCTTTTGGGTTTATGATTTATATAGCCTATATATATTTTGCCCTGCGACCCTTTACGCAGGATAAGTGGTTGAAGATGGATGGATGGATATAGATTTTGGCTAAAAATGGTCTGTTATTGAAATATAATAGCCTACGTTTGTAATAGTAATAAATTTGCTGATAGTTCTCAGGCTGTGTCAACCTATCGGATAATTCCGCATTGCTGACAAGAATCTGGCACCCAAAGGTGCACATTTCCCCTGGGGTTTGACTCACATCAGGCGTTTCTTTGCAGATTAGCTGGAGCTGACATGCCGTGGTGGACAGTAACTAAGTCTATTTACTGTACTTACATGTACACTACATCTCAGAGGGAAATATTGTTCTTTTTACTTCACTACATTATCTGACAGCTTCAGGTGCTGTTTACAGAGTAAGATTTTTACACACAAAAAATATGAGGAGTATAAAAAAGATGATGTTTTGTTATAAATAAAACTACTCAACAGTTCATACAAGTGCAGCTAACACATTCGTTGATTGACAGAAATGTAATTTGCAACTATTTAGATAATCGTTTAAGTAATGTAAAAACATTTCATGGTTCCAGCTTCACACATGTGAAGATATGCTGCTTTTCATTATGATTATTTTAATCTGTTGTTTAATAAATTCAAGGTCTGGACTGACAAAACAAGCATTGTGAAGGTGTCACTGTGAGCTCTGGGAAACTGTGACTAGACTTCGCACTACTTTCTTTATCATCTTTTGTTTTGTTTTTTTTTACAATTATCAGCATATTAATCTATAGTAAGTCATTAATCACAGTGTATAACAGTAAAATTCTGCTTTTACATTAATGCATGAGGAATAATGCTCATAATATGACAGAATGATATAACAGTCACAGGGGACATTTTTTGTTCTGCATTGAGTACTTTTAATACATTTTCCTGATTATACTTACATACTTTTACTTAAGATTTATTTTCAGCGGAGTATTTTTACTTTTTACAGAGTATTTTTACAGTGAGGTATTGGTACCTAACTAAATATCTGAATACTTATCCACCACGTATATGTGGGGTGTTTGTGTAAGTGTGTTATATGGGTGTCGTTGTACTGTATACTTCCCCCATATAGAAACGTGACTATTATGACCTGAGGTGGTCGTGGTCACAGTTTCTGTTGTAAATGATATTGGCACGTTTATGCTGATGTACACATACTGTTGTCTGGTTGTAGCAGAGATTAGCTGTCTCAGAAAGATGGGACACCTCTTCAAGAAATGGTTCAAACATTTTTCATTTCCAATTATAGATCTCTTTTTTGTGTGCGTGTTTATTATGATTGTTCTATTGGAGCTTAAGGGTTCATTCCTGACCACAGCACCTTGACTAAAAACATCTTAGCTCACTTTTTGTCTTTTTTTTCAAACACATGTCATGGACTTCCTCAGCAGATGGAATTGTCAGTTATAACGGAGGCAATATATTTATTTTCTTAAATAATTTTTTTAATACAATTTCTAGAATTTGTTTGTGCATTAGTGTGTGTGTGTGTGTGTGTGTGTATGTGTGTGTATATTGTATATTAAATTAGTTTAATTTAATTCATTGATTTTGATTGTTAATTTTTGTATATAATGTTTGTTTTTGTGAGTAGCATAAAGGGAACTACTAAATTAATCTAGTTATACAACCCTGTGTTGTAAAATGATACATCTTCCTTATCTTACAATTACGATTTAACGATGACTTTTTTTATTGCATTATATAATGTGTTTTTTTCATATTCCAGAAAGTACAGAGAAAAGGCTGTAGCCAAGAATGTAGAGCAAAATTTATCTTCTGATGGAGGACTGAGAGGATACTTTTGTGAATCCTGTTACAGCATGAATTACCCTACCTATTTTTGCAAAATCCTTGTTTAATGTCTTTATTTTGAAAATGTATTGTCTCCAATTTTATTGGATGCGGACTCCCACACTGTACACTATCCCCGTTTTTAGAGACCTTTCATCTCACCTTCTCTTCCTTCTTTTATTTCTCACACGAATAACAATACAACAATAATAATAATTTCTTCAGGAATGGAGAACATGTCAACTCTACACAGGAAGGGATTGAATCTCAGTCTTTCAGTGTAGTGATGAAATACAGTAATTCTGACCACTGAGACACCATACTGGTCCTACCATTTCATCTCCTTTTCTATTCACTGTGCCAGTTCTTATCATACTCATCATCTCTCCCTTTCTTGTATTGGTGCAAGGTTTCCAGGATGTCCATGTGATGATCTTTGTTGGATTTGGCTTCCTGATGACATTTCTCAAGCGGTACAGCTTCGGGGCCGTGGGTTTCAACTTTCTTATCGCAGCCTTTGGCCTCCAATGGGCGCTGCTAATGCAAGGCTGGTTCCACTCCCTGGACTACACTGATGGAAAGATAAAAATTGGAATTGAAAAGTAATTGTTCAGTTTTATTGTCAAAGACTTTTTATTCTTTCATTTTGATAAAGGTATAAAGCAACAAACAGAGACTCATGACTCACTGATAATATATAAAAGGCCACAACTGTGACCATCTGCAAGTGATGTCATTCAGCTCTGGTTCTTTTGTTACTGTGATTTATGGATCTCTTATAGAAATATGATTCCACCTTTTATGGTTTCCATAGAAAACACAGGTGGTGAGGTGGAGAACCCAGTCTGACACAATTACATAAAGATATTTCCAGGCACATTAGATTTAGTGTTTGTGAACTAAAGGTAAACAGAAGTCAGGCTAAAAAGAAATGATTCATGTGCAGCCAAGTCACAATAGGTGTGTCATCTGTGTGTGTCTCATATTTGGCCCCTACAGATAACACATCTGATATTACCTTGTTTGGCCACTACATTTTGACATTCTTTCCTCCTCAGCCTGATTAATGCAGACTTCTGTGTGGCGGGCTGCTTAATTGCCTATGGGGCAGTGCTTGGTAAAGTCAGTCCAGTCCAGCTGATGGTTCTGACTCTGTTTGGGATCACATTGTTTGCTGTGGAGGAATATATCATCCTGAATCTCATACATGTAAGTTGAAACAATTATTCATTCATCCATGCATAAATATTTATTCAACTGCATCAATAAAACACCTTATGTAGAGAACTGTATCATGTTGGGTACATGGTTTTATTTGCTTATATATTTTGTAATTTATTACACCAAGTAACAACTCAGGAGCTTCCTTGTAATAGGGGTGGGAATCTCTGGGCACCTCACGATTCAATTCGATTATGATTCAGAGGGCTGCGATTCGATTATAAAACGATTATCGATGCATCATTTTTTCTATAGAGGATCCCGGAATAATTACTAAGCATTTAATTTGCGCATTAAAATCCAAAAGAAACATCTCCCAATTAGTTTAAAAACACTAGTTTGTATCCCTAATTGACTTTATTAACCTCAGCTCCATGGTCCCTCATTTCTTTAACAACCAGTTGTCAGACTCCTGAAAACTGAAAAATAATTATCGGGATGTTCAGTACAGTATGTATACAGGACAGAGCTGTACACCAGTTTAGTCTAAGCTTGTGCCTGATGTGTTCAGCCCTCGACTAGTAGTTTAGTTAGGAATGACATACAGCTGATAATTAATATTACTTTGTTACTAATTTAGTGAAGGTTACATAAATAAATAAATGAATATTTTAGCGCCTTTCACGGGACCCAAGGACGCTTTACACATAGTTACAGAACAACATAAAGTCATTCAGGATTGAATGCCTGGGTAAAGAGCTGGGTTTTTAGTAGATCTTTGAAAGTGTCCAGACAGGGAGAATTTCAGATCTCTGTGGGGATGAGTTCCAGAGGGTGGGGGCTGTAACGCTGAAGGCTCTGTCCCCAAAAGTGTGGTGTCTTGTGTGGGGGGACAGAGAGCAGAGGAGATGTTAGCTAGCGCTAACAGCCTTCACTTTTCCAACCGTTGGGGAAACTACAGACTTTTATTAACAGACACACAGTGACCTACGCTGCACGTTTACGACCAGACTGAAACTTACTGCTAATATCTTTCCTCCGCTTTCACCGTCACGTTCTGCCGCTCGCTCTCTCTCTCTCTCTCTCACTCGGCCCCTCACACACAATACGCAGGGAGCTGCAGAGCGTCACCATGCTCGCAGTGTGCGAGTTAAAATCATAACTTGCGCACTGATATTAATGATTGTGTGACATTTTAGTGGGGTGGTTATTCATTCTGCAGCGGTGGCGACTACAGGGGAACACAGGTCTTACTGTTGTGCGCGCTCCACAGACGCTGCATTTCCGCCTTTTGCGTTCTGTCAACATTGCGACATTGCATCAATTAACATTTAAATAATTTTTAGACATTTGTTAATCGATTCATAATCTTCCACGTCCGCATCGCGATGCATCTAAGAATCGATTATTTCTCCCACCCCTACCTTGTAACATATGACACTGACTAACTGTAGAGGAGTTGGGGTGAGAACAACTCCGATTATTCTTCTCATGATAGAAAGTGAAGAAGTAATGGGGTGAAAACAATCACCAGAGAAATGACAGAATGTTTTGCCCCACAAACAGTATTTGTTTAGTCATTTAGGGATCTGATTTTTCAATATTCAAAACAAACTCTGACACATTTAAAAAAAAAAAAAAAAGTAGTGACACTTCTCCAGGAGTAAATCCTAGTGATGAACCACTTAAGGCACATCAAGTACTGGTTACCACCTAGCAAACGCCTCATAACATCCTAGCTGTAAGAAATGTATCTACTGCTACTTCTACTAATGCTAATTTTCTTACCTGAAGGCCAGAGATGCTGGAGGCTCCATGGTGATCCACACATTTGGAGCTTATTATGGTCTTGCTATATCGTGGATGCTCTATCGGCCAAATTTGAACCACAGCAAGCGTCTGCAGGGCTCCGTTTACCACTCAGATGTCTTTGCTATGATTGGTGGGCATGATTTCATTACATAATGATTTTTGTTTTTACTTTCTCAATACTTCCCATTATTCAGGAGGTACTCTGGGTCTGCTAGATTTTTCTGGTCCTTTCATATCTATCTCCGCCCTGCTCTCTGCATAGGCACTCTCTTCCTGTGGATGTTTTGGCCCAGCTTCAACTCAGCCATCACAGGCCACGGGGACGGGCAGCACAGAGCGGTCATCAACACCTACCTGGCATTGGCTTCAGCTGTGCTCACTACTGTGACCATCTCAAGCCTCACCCAGAAGCATGGAAAACTAGACATGGTAACAACTGTTTGTTTCCTATGTCAGTCACAAACACTAATCATAAAATGAAGCTATGTGATGGACATGATTAGGATAATACAAGCTATGTGTATTTGTCAAGTGGACATTATTAATGTGAAATGAATCCCTTTGTCATATTGTCAAACATGACGCGCATGACTTGCACCCCACCTGAACAAACTCAAATTTTATTTTGTCTTGAAGTGATGGGGTGCATACTCTTTGACCTGCACAGTAGACACATCATACAGTAAAAACAGGCCAAGCTGACAGTTTCTTCTTTTTTTTTTTTTGCATGTTTCTCAGGTTCACATCCAGAACTCCACCCTTGCTGGAGGCGTTGCAGTGGGAACTGCAGCAGAGTTCATGCTGATGCCTTACGGGTCTCTTATCGTAGGGTTCTGCTGTGGTATCATCTCCACTCTGGGATATGTCTACCTCACGGTATGGTGTCTGTTGTGTTCTAGCTATTATGGGATTAACTGCACACATTTAAATGAAATTACAAAACACTCTCTGGTAAAAAAAATACAAATAATAATAATAACTTTTTATATCGGCTGATTAATCTGTTTTTCATAAATTTGCAACTTAACTGCTCAGTTGTCCCATTTCTCAGTAAGAACAGCTAATCCTAACTGATCTGTGCATCTTAGCCATTCATGGAGAAGCACCTGAAGATCCAGGACACGTGTGGAATCCATAACCTGCATGCCATGCCAGGAGTCATAGGTGGGATTGTGGGAGCCATTACTGCCGCAGCTGCAACAGAGCCAGTTTATGGCACTGAGGGGTGAGTGGTCCTTGCTTACAATCAGGAAACCAGCAGCCAGAGGTCATGGTAGGTTTTTTAACTAAATGGATAGAAAATGATCAGCCTTTAAAGGGTCACAAAAAGAACTATCTGTATTCTTTTGGCCAAATATGGTCTTTTGTTTTTAAAGAACTGCATTGTGAGTTGCCCCCTTTTTTGTGTATTAAAGGATGATTAAGATCTTTGACTTTGAGGGTGATTTTAAAGACAGGACACCCGCACTGCAAGGGGGCTACCAGGCTGCAGCCCTCTGTGTGGCTCTCTGCTTTGGTGTAGGTGGAGGCATCATTGTCGGTAAGGAATAACCACTGCCCCTCAGTTTGACCATAAAATATGTATGGAAATAAATGAGTTTACACACCATGGATGATGGACTGTCTGTGTTGGGATAGCTGCTTAATTATTATTAATTTTCTCAGGTTGTATCTTAAGATTACCTATCTGGGGAGATCCTGCAGATGACAATTGTTTTGATGATGAGGTCTACTGGGAGGTGAGAGACAACTCTTTACAGCCCTAAGGAGGTTTTTACAGTTTGAAAGAGAAATGTCTATCAAATCACAATTCAGTCAGTAGTTCAGTTGCACAGAATGAATATCAGATATCTCAAAGATCACATGTTTTAAGGAATTTGTTTGAGGGGTGTTTTTCTAATTTTTGACAAATGCAGTTCAGTTAAAATGCATTTTACTAAATGAGTTTGGAGACAGTCAAAATTCTGGACCTGATTAATCAACAGCACCAATCAGATGAGTCTTCTGACTGGAAGCTTTTCAGTTCATTTGGTTTCAGTCCATCCAGTCCAGTCTGATCTAACCGGAAGAATGTCCAGCTGATGCATTACAAGAGATACTCAAAAGATGTGTGTATATAAATATGAAAACAGATTGATTTACAGTCTAGACATACTTACATACTAGTTTGTTACACTATTCTTGTTTAGAAACATTTGAATGTGTTCCTTTCCCTAAGGCTGTTCACTCATTATGTAAGTTAGTGAATGGGCTGCCGTCATTCTGCCACCTCTATTTACAAAGAAACACTTCATAATTTTCCATTTTATGACATTACCAAGTGCACATAGCATCATACGTTTGTTGTTCATTGATAATGTGATTTGTTTTATTATCCTCCCAATTGTTAAAAGTCTAAATGGTTCACAGGTTCCTGAGGATGAAGAGAGCACCGTACCAGTCCCTCCGTACAACAACCACGTGCGGAACAAAAATGTGTAAGTGTCCCTTTTGTTTATCTGACAACAGTGTTCTGGTCCTGGAGATGTGCTATTCTCATACCATACCCTTGTTGTCGTGAATTGTGTTACATTCAGTGTCCTCTCTGTGGCAGCAGATCCAAATTTGCAGATACTACATGTGACTCCTTAATTGCTGCCCTTTGGGAATATTTATTCATAATGCTTTTCTCATTTCTTCATACTTCCTCTATTCCTTGCCTTGCGTCATAGTCCCTCCCACCAGAGAGGCAAGGAAGAGACATGAGGAAAGGAGTTAAGGCAACAGGCATTTAACGAAATTAGACATCCTTGCTTCGGAGATGTGATTATAAAGCGACGTGAGTTAAATATGATGTGTGGGCCAGCTGCATCCTCTGTCAGTTGTTTTGTTATAGCATTCTGCTATGATCTCTGACAGATGAGCATAACAATTGTCTGCACCAGTACATGAAGGCAACAGATCATATCTTCACTCAATCCAGAAAAAAGTTGTCAACATTATGACATGTAGAAACATCTTGAGGTTGCAATAAACATCATCGCCAGCCCATTTTCATTCTCGGGGTGTGAAATACCTATGCTTTGTCATGTTCTAGCATATCAAGAAACCACAGTCATGGATTACAGTATCATGCACTAGCCTTCATAGAAAATCAGTAACTCATTTCCAGGCTTCTTCAAGGTAAATTGTCATGAAGGAATGCAGTTAGAACAGCGTCTTACAATGCACTACACGCACAGTGTAGGGTAGAAAGTTTGATCAACATTTGATCATCTTAAATAACTAATACAAACTATGAACACAAAAGGAACAATGAGTCCTGCTCCTACCATGGTTTGTATATTGAAAGCCTAAGTCCCTCGCTTCTGCTTCTGCCCTATGGGACCTTATTTCGTGGGGAAAATTAATTAGAATGTATTTTATTTATCTTCACCTTTCAAGATCCTCACTTTACAAAACTGGGTAATACAGGAAAAACGAGGACAAAAATGCAGTGTATGAGTACATTGATAAAATAGCAACATATTACAAAGCACCAGGAAAAGTGCTTTTCGATTTAAAAGAACCAACAGATGTGCATTGGCACAAACTCTGGGGGAGAGCATTCCAGAGGTTAGGGCCAGCCATACTTAAGGCCCGTCATGGGGGGGAGACCTAAATCTGCTGATGGAAACAAACTGTTGTCAATCAAATTGTGCCCTGAATTACATTATTTGAAAGGTTAAAAAAGCATTTAGGCAAGAAAGTTGCAGTTTGTCATAAAACAGTAATGTAATATTTACATTTGTGTGAAACCGCTCAACGAACTACATCTCTCGTTTCCCACAATATACGTCACCAACATGCCTGTCACCGCTTTTTTCCAGAAGGAGGGGGAATATAATAGAGGTGAAAATCATTACAAGTCTGGCCATGTTGCTCATGGGTTTACATTCTGAGGGAGGGACTTAGCTTCTTATACGTCGCAGGAGCTGAAAAGACTTCTGTAAAGGATACGCCAGTGCATCCTCGCTCCTGCGGCAAACCTTCAAGATGGCGCACTGAGATCTATATCCGGGTCACAGGCAGGAGGATGGAGGAGAGAGGAGGGAACAAAAGAAATGAGGAGAGCCCATGGTGTTGAATACAGTGATCTCATGGTGTTGAATCAAAACAGTCTCACTCCCAAGTCACATATGGACGCATGGTCGAGAAGACCTTTTGACGTCACTTTGCAACACACTGGGGATCATCATAGTTCAACGCACTGGGGGAAGCCTTGTAGTGTAGTTGTTGGGGTTTTTTTAATGCTAAAGGTAGGTGTGTAATATAACAGTAAAGGCCAAATAAGGAGGTGACTTGGGTGGATTGGAAACCGTAATTTTAACCAGTAGACCAGTGTTTGTTTCAATTGTAAAAACAAAAAGTCAACATTGATTTTTATTTGTAACATAAGTTGCACAAGTCACGTAAGTAAGTAAGGCACACCTGTGCTGTCTGATCAGCATCTTGATATGCCACACCTGTGAGGTGGATGGAATATCTCGGCAAAGGAGAAGTACTCACTAACACAGATTTTGACAGATTTGTGAACAATATTTGAAAGAAATAGGCCTTTTGAGTACATATAGAAAGTCTTAGATCTTTGAGTTCAGCTCATGATGAAAAGGAGCAAAAACAAAACTGTTGTGTTCATAATTTTGTTCAGTGTACTTAAGGTACTGCGCATGTGCAATTCCCAAAGATCTTGCAGAAGTGAGATGCTTCACTCAGTAGCTAAAATGGAGCATTCAACAATGTTATTTTAAGCCAAACCATGATGTTTTCCTAAACCTAACCAAGTAGTTTCATTGCCTAACCAATTTATGATGTTTTACATAACGTTCCGCTCCATGTTAACAAGTAGTTTTATTTTGAAAGTCTAACCAGACACTGCATATTTATTATTGTTAACTTGACCGGACGTTGCATATTTATTGTTGCTAACATGACAGCTGAACCCTGTACGTCACAAAATAACGCTGAAGGGGTACCCAGGGCGTTAAAAAGCGACACCAAGGGGTCTTGACCAAGTGTTCATATGTGACAAGTTGGGAGTGAGAATGTGTTGTTTGAATACATGAACAAACAATCAGGATGCGGGAATAGACAGTATGGCCCCCCTGTCACTCTGGCCTGTGCCGTCCCTGTAACTCTGCATGGACTAGATTAAGTAATGCTGAGGTGGACCCTGTGCTCTATTTCCAAGTGAAGCTTATCTGTGCAGTTTATTGAATTTTCACAGCAAACCTCCATATGTGCAGATCTTCAAAGTGACCTTGAAGTCATGTATACTGTGGAAATGGAAACTGATGCAAGGATTTCATATGAATTAAAGTCTGAATGAAACATTTTCTTTAGTGAATATACAGGAATATCTATGGGCTAAATCTCAACAAATAAAGTCTAAAATGTTTGATAATATTTACTGTGAGTATAAGAGGTGTCATTGTTTCTTATGTAATGCTTTTTGTTTCAGAGTGGAGTCTGATTTCAACATGGAGCAGAACTGACGCTATAGGCCTTGATTCTGATGTCTTTATCACACAGTTCCTTCCTTTTTATTCTCCTGCTGGACAGAAAAAATAATTTTATATGATTAGTTGCCACCAATCAAAACCAGTTATTTTTCTAACCAGAAAAACAGGTTGTTTAGCCTAGAATTGAGTCTTAAAATCTTTTCTTTGTTTCTTTGAAGTGAATAAGATTTTTTCTGTTTTCCGATATATATTTATTTTCAGTTTCAATCAATTAATATTCAATCAAATAGGCTATTCTATAAAAAAAAAGAGTCACATTATCTTGGTACTAGTGGAGAGATTTGCTTCATGTGAACATTTAGAAACATTTCAATTTAATGCAGAATTTTTCTCATTTCACATGAAACTGCAAGGATGTACTCAAGAACATTTACCTTCTTTGGCTGAGCTGTCCCTCTGGAATGAATGAATGAATAAATAAATAAATAAATAATTGTTTTATTTTTGCTGCTGTGGCTGCATAAGTGTGTCTGCTTTTTTTTAAAGAGGGGGGTACTATATTTTGTAATAGTAGTAGTTATTGCAATCATATGATGTTGAAATTGATTGGGTTAGAACAATTTAGTCTTATTTCATTAACATTTATCAATATATCACTACTCAATTGACATCTTCTGTTTTAAGTTCAGAAACTACACAGCATAATTTAAGGTAATTTTTTGTCATGACATTAAACATACATTGTTAGTAATTTCTCTTCAGGTTTTCTTTTTTCATCACAAATATAGGAACATTTGAACATTTTTATTCAGACAATATTTAAAAATTAAAATAAGGGCACATTGCAAATATCTGGGCTGGTATTTATATTTAAGTGCCATTTTAGTCTTAAGTGCTGAGAATTCATGAAATTTACTCCTACTTTTAAGAATAAAAGAATCACTCTTACTCTCACAGTTATTTAAGACAGCTCAAGAGGTCTCTCAAGTGGTTAAGAGCTGCAGTAGGGGCTTGTGATGGCGCTGTGGAGACAGAGACATGCATCTTTCAGGAGAGGAAGATCGTTTCTGATTTATTCTACAACGCGCAGTAAATAAGACGGGGTCGGACAGCGCAGGCATAAACTTTGTCAGCGAGTTGGTGAGGGACGTCATCTCACCACTGACTTTACACTGTAGGTAACGCGTTTTCAGTTAAATTGAAGGTGGTGATGACGCTTCGTTTATTTGCCACAGGATAAACGCAGCAATGCTGATGATTGCGGCCGTCACAACCATCAATAAGCCGAACAGTCATGGAAACAATTACAGCACTTACAGTTTAACACACCGTGACGCGCTTCATCGACTTCCCAACACCCCCGTAATCCGACAGAAGCAAACACAGTTCATGCAAATAGCCGGCTTCACAGGAGTAGTAGGCGCATTTGATGGCGCTCATATAAAGATAAACTTTTTTATCTTTCATTTATTAATGTGCAGGCCTATATCATAATGTATTATCTTGAAAAGTCTTTATTGTTAAATGTGTGTTGAATATAAACTCCTCTTAGGAATTTCACCATTCATTTATCTGAGAATTTTCTTAAATAAGGAAATCTATTCAGTGATTGGTCCTTGGCGACATCTTCATCCAAAATCCTGTTTGCGGCACAGCAAAGTGTCATAAATCAGCACTAAGACTGACACTTAAGATTTAGTTCAACACTTGACTCAAATTAGGACTATGATGCTTGATAACTGACTTTTAAGCACAGCTTTGAGCCAAGAAGTTTTGTACTCTTAAGTCAGTTCTTAGCAGTGTCCTTATGAGTAATTCTGAGAAGCTTGATAAATATGGGCCCTGTTGCCAAACCACTACAGGGTGCATTGTGCTGGGTTAAGGAGGAGAGAAAACAGATTGAGTTTGGTTTTGTCATTGACCTGTCTTCCTAATGGTCATACAGGAGTTGAGGTCAACAATGGAAAACCAGGCTGCTGTGAGGAGCGGGTTATGAGCAAACTACTGCTGATCAACTCAGCAAAACTGAGAAGCAGAATGATCTATTGGACCAGAAAAATTAGGTCATTTGTATGACAGTTTTACTCTTTATATTAAATCTAAGACTCACCAAGATTAGACCAGTTCTGTCGTTTAAAGATACCAAGGCTCTTAGTCATGCATTTGTTACATCTAGGCTGGACTATTGTAATATTCTTTTGTCAGGGCTGCCTAAGAAATGTTTGCAAGGCCTGCAGATGGTCCAGAATGCAGCTCGTGTTCTGTCCTGACTCCCTGTTCAGTTTAGAACAGATTTTAAGGTTATGTTGCATTATGGAGGTTATGTATAAAATAGAGAATAGCCTCACACCATTTTATCTGTCTGATCTTTTGAATTCTTATGTGCCTATACACAGTTGCTGCGCTTTTTTAGGGCACTGGTATTTTGAGTGTCCCTCAGGGAGAAAACGGTTGGTGAACGAGCGTTTTTGTTTTACACTCCAACACTGTCATCCACCAGATATTAGACAGGCATGTTTGATTGAAGTTTTTAAATTAAGACCTTAAGACCTACTTATTGACTGTTGCGTGTGAGTCCTAAGTCTGATGTCCTTGCATAAGTATATTGCTAAAAGTTGGAATTGGTGTTCCAATCACTTCCATGGCCACTGGTGTATAAATCAAGCACCTAGGCATGCAGACTGCTTCTACAAACATTTGTGAAAGAATAGGTCATTCTCAGGAGCTAAGTGTGTACTGGTGTGTAGTCATGTTGGAACAGGAAGGGGCAATCCCCAAACTGTTTCCACAAACTTGGGCGAATGAAATTGTTCTAAATGTTTTGGTATGCTGAAGCATTAACAGTTCCTTTCACTGGAACTAGGGGGCCACGCCCAACCCATGAAAAACAACCCCACACCATAATCAACCAAACTTTACACTTGGCACAATGCAGTCAGGCAAGTACTGTTCATCTGGCAACAGCCAAACTCAGACTCGTCCATCAGATTGCCAGAGACCTCTAGAGAACACGTCTCCACAGCTCTAGTGTCCAGTGGTGGCGTGCTTTACACCACTGCATCCAACGCTTTGCCTTGCGCTTGGCGATGTAAGGCTTGGATACAGCTGCTCAGCTTCTATGAAGCTCTCTATGCACTGTTCTTGAGCTAATCTGAAGGCCACAAGACGTTTGGAGGTCTGTAGCTACTGACTCTGCAGTATTGGAGGAGATCTGATTAATTCATACTACGGAAAATGCTCAATTAGGATCGGGTAAAAAGAGAACAGAATCTCTTTTTGAAATATTTGAAAGAATACATTATCCTGTGTCTAGTAGGTTATTTCTTATCTCAACATTTTAAATTTACCTAATTTTCCCACCTCATTTTAGTGTTTACTCTCAAACTACTTTAATTTGCTCACCTTGCTTTTCCCTTCACACACACACACACACACACACACACACACACACACACACACACACACACACACACACACACACACACGCACACACACACATACCCACACCTGTATCTCTTACTGCACGCACACTGACTATGAGGGTTGGGACATATCAATACACATGCACACCAGTACCTCAAATGCATCCCTGCCTGCCTAACTTGCGCTCCACCTAACCTAGTTACCTAGTTATGTGTAGAAGCAGGGGTGGTGTTGAGTGTAGCTACAATGGACAGGTGCATTGCACTATCGAGCAACATCTGACACTAAATCTAACACTAGTTACATGTAAAAGCACGTGTGGTGGTGTGGCATCTAGTGTGCTGTATCAGAGCAGGGTTGAGTAAAGCTGATGCTGGTAGGTGTGAAGCACAATGACGATACACCTGACGCCACACCTAACACTTCCACTTAATCTCAGTCTTGCAGTCTTCTAGGAAAAAGAAAGGTGGACACAAGCTATATGATAAGCCTTGGTCAACAAACGTCTCCTGTATAAAAAAGGAGAACATCAAGTTATAACCATCTGGGTTGTAAATGGGAGTACAAGTCCAATTGGGTCTACAACGTCTTCAGATCCTTAGGAGCAGATAAATGATGATCTTTGGATTAAAGCTCTCGAAAACATACACAAATGCTCCAACAACTCTAGCAACAACTGTATCCCCCACTGTGTGACAAATGCCATTCTGAAGGAACCACTCTTCTCCACAGTTATCAGTTAAAATCAGCTTTATTGCCAAGTAGATTTACACTTACAAGGAATTTGCTTTGGGTGACTTGGTGCGTAACAATAAGCATAATATATAAACATATTAAAATATTCAATTGACATAGTATAAAAAAATATAAAGCTTGACCGACTGGTGACTGGAGGTGCAGCTGTTGGTGTGCAGGGAGAAGAACAGAGGGGAAAGAACGCAGCCATGAGGGAAACTGGTGCTGATGGTCTGAGAATCAGAGACATGTCTCCCCAGCTTCACGTGCTGCTTCCTGCTGTCTGTGAACCTGAAACACTTTTAGTGGTCATTGAAGTGTCTGTCATTTTTCCCTGCTTCATAAATGTCAGTAAACTATTTATATCTTATGCACCTATCGCAGCATAGAAACTTAATTTAATGTTTTGGAAAAAGGCACCTGTCAAACTGTGGCTGGAAGAAATAGTAAAGCTCTCTCACCTGGAGACAATACGGTTCCCGCTGTAAAACAAATTGAATCCAGTCAACAGGATTTGGCATCCCCTTCTCCAATACACTGATAACTCAAACCTAATAGCTGTACAATATTGATGACCCACTTTAGGGTGACATGATGTAAAGTTTCAGGAAGGGGAGGGGGTGATACAAAGAGAAACTTGTGTCTATATATTTATTTTATCTCTAACTCTGAAGCCAAGGCAAATTTGCAATACTGAATATTTTTTGTGACTATTTACTGTGTACCTGTTCTGTAACCTCTTTGTTGCCTGTCTGCCTGGTCTGTCACCTGTTTGTTGCCTGCCTGCCTGGTCTGTCACCTGTTTGTTGCCTTTCTGTGTACTTGCCTACCTACTGGTCTGCCTACTTACATCACCCTTTTGTAAATCATTAAACTTCACCAGTCTGCCTGTTCTGTCTGCGTTTGTGTCCAATCCATTGTGACAAAAACCAAGAATCTCTGTGAATCCAAATACTGCCCTGTACTGTGACATTAGTATCTATAATATTGTGTTGACCTGTGTAAACCTAAATATAAATTGAAATGTATAACTTAAAAAGAAACTCTATTTAGCTTAAGCCTAAACCAAATTATTACTATTACTATTAAGTAGAAGTGGTGGTGGTAGTTATAGTAGCCTTGTAATTTAAGACGTCTAGAGGACTTTTCCCAAATGTCCCTGTAATGTCCTCTGGTTCTGTGAAAGTCCCATAATGTCCCTGTAACATACTGGAAACCCTACACAGTGATGTTTAGCGGATGTTCGGAGAGGACGTGCTGAGGACGTTTTTTTGTTTATTGTAACTCTGCATGGAAAAGATTATGAAATGCTGAGTTGGACCCTGAGCTCTGTTTCCAAGTGAAGCTCATCTGTGGAGTTTGTTGATAGGGGATTTTCACTGCACAGCTCCATACGTGCAGCTCTTCAAAGTGACCTTGAAACCATGTATACTGTGGAAAAGAAAACGAGAAAAAAACTGGTGCATGGATTCCATATGAATCAAAGTTTGAACAAATGAAAGATTATCTTCAGTGTAGAGTGATAGGCCTATACAGGAACATCTACGGGCCAAATCTCAGTAAATATAATGTCGGTTTCTTTTAAAATGTTTGATTTGATAATATTTACATGTACACTGTGGGTATATGAGGTGTCATTGTTTTTCGCACCTTGTATAATGCTTTTTGATGCATAGCAGAGTCAGATTTCACCACTGAGCAGAACTGACAGAGATGAAGACATCCTGATCCTGATGGATCTCTGTCTTTTTCACACTTGACCTGTTTGTACTTTTTAATTTACTGCTGGACAGAAATATTCATTTGATACAATTATTCCCCACCAATTACAACCAGTTATAGTTTATAAAGGGAATATATGTCTGTTATTTAAATATTTGTTTTTTTGTTTGAATTCAAACAGTCTGCTTGTGGAAAAACATATTTTTAGTTTTCCAAGATTTCCAAATCAATTAATATTCAAATAGGCTATTCTATTAAATGAGTCACATTATCTTGCAATTTGTCTCGTTTCACATAAAACTGCAAAGACTGACTGAGATGCCCCCTATTTTTGCTGTTGTGACTACATTAATACAAGAAGCTAATAATTCCTAAAGTTACACTAAATTAAATTGCCATATCATCCAAACTTATCACAGCTATAAATAATAATAGCGATGCCCTATGCCCCCTGTCATGTGACACTGTAGCGTCCAAACTTGGAATGTGGCAGCTTTGTCAGTGTTTTTTTGTTTTAGTTTTTTTGGAAGTAGTGGAAATGATTAACGATGAATGGTATAGCAAATTCCATTATAGGGCCCTAGGGCCTAGGTCCTAGGTCCTTATAATGGATTTACTAGGTGTGAACAGGAGGCAACTAGAATAGGAAACCTGTGTGGGTTAATAAGTGTCAAACTACAAGATCTCACTTTAGAATGGAAAACTAATTCTGAGAAAGACTTAATTTAGAGGTATTTGGACAACATTAACACCTGTAGTTGTTTGCTCTACTTGTCATTGTAGTGGTTTTCTGCAGAATCTCACACCCCACCTTTGAGAGAGAAGGTCCCAAGAAAGTTTAAATACGTAACCCATCTTGTTCTTAACTGGATTACCTCCCCAACCACACTCGTATAACCAACACAAACTGTTCACAGAATATCCCAAAAGGAATATACTTTTATATAATGCATGTTTCCTTTACAACAAAAATATTTTTACTTTAGGTGTTGATTTATACACATACAAAATGCTTGGAAAAAATATTAGATTATTATCAAACAATAAGAGTCACTTAATGGAGCTTTTCTCCAATTTAAGATGTGTAACACCTGAAAAGTAATTCTAGTACATTCCAGGTGCAAAACTAGAGGGAGTGACAGTGGGAGTGTCCTCATATTAACACCCATCTTTGCTCATCTTCACTTGTGCTTAAGATGCTCAGGCCCTTTAAAGTGTATCTTACTTTTACAGAAGACAGCTCAATAAAACATTTCAGCTGTTTAGCTGCTCTCATAACTCCAAAAGATCATTTAATTCAAATTTTGTTTTGATTTATTTGCTCAGGATCAATACTAACCAAACACAATGGGCTGTGTTCAAAGCTTCAGGGACCTGTGTGACCATCCAAAAAATACAAATATTCGTATCAGTCTTCCAGCAGTTTGCATTGTGTGGCAAACAGCCATGATCATCTTGTTTGGGATTTTTATTCGTTACAATGAAGAATCAGATCCACACTGGGCAGAGCACAAAAAAGCTAACAATATATCAAGTGACATTGAGAACGACTTCTACTACAGATATCCAAGTAAGTGTCTTCATTTTGATGTTTGATGTTCTTCTTTTATTCTTTTTCCAAAATATTGTCTTTTCCAAATGTCTAAAATCTCAATTATCACTTTTATTTCTTTATATTGTCTAACAATCCTTTAATCCTTAATCTTTACACATCTGTCTTTCTATTATAAACTAAACTCTATGTCTTTATGCACCCACATTTCTGCACATTTAGCTTTTGGTTTTATCATTTATTAATTTTTGGGTATAAATTGTTGGTTTTCATTGTAATAAAACATGTTTTTACCTGAGTAACCAAATTGATGATAGTCAGGCTGTGTCAAACTCAGATTATTCCTACATTGCTAACAAAGATATTTCTCCTGGGGTATGACACCAATCAGACTTTTTCCCAGTTTAACTGTGGCTGACACGCTTACCTCTTTGTACAAATAAAAATGCATTTTATTTTGATAAAATTAGGGGCAATTTGGGGGATGTGTGTGTGCCTGCAGTCTATGGATGTGGTTGTACTGTATGCTTCGCTTCCCCAACATCCCACAGTGTTAGTATAGTGAAGTCATCTCAGAATCTCAGATGCGGTGCTGGATGTCAGATGCTAAATATACTTCCTGAGACAATTTGTTCTAGGAGCCCAGCAAGAGCTAAAACTTACTGTGGAGATTTGGCTATAAGTTACCAGCTACGGGCCAAGCTACATTAGTCTGAAAAACCAGTGCATTCCCATTTACGGTTTAGGGCCAAAAATCTGAAAAATGTATATAAGTAAACATAGTAGTAACATAAGTAAAGCCATCGGTTTACAAGTAACAGCTATTCACAGAGGAAGAGTCGGGACTTCCCAGACTACTGAATATTATTTTAGCTTTAAATACCCATCCCTAGCCGACGGAGCCCCTAAAATCCCAAAAGGTGATATTTTTAATCTTCTTGTGGGAACAAGTTATAATCTTGTGCGCACAATACAATAAACTTGCTCGCACAAGATAGCCCAATCACACTTTGTTGTTTGTTTGGCTGTAAAGAAATTTGCATTTTTTCTATGCAACTGTAGGAACCTACTGTACAGTTTGAATGGAAAGATGACTATTGTGACATAATGTGTGTCAGGCAGTCAGTTTCTGTTGTAAACAATACTGGCAGGTTTGTGCTGGTATCCACATGTTGTCTGTGGGTTATAGCAGAGATTAGCGGTCTTGCAATGATGAGACACTTCTTTAACAAATGGTTCACGTGTTTTTAATTAGACCAAACTCGTTGTTACCCCTCTATTTTGTGTGTGTGTTTATTATAATGATATTATTGGAGATTGATTACTCATTCTTGACCATGGAAACAGCACCTTTACAAGAAACTTCTCAGTACAAGCTCGCTTACTTCTTTTTTTTAAGCTTTCAACCACACCTTGTGGACTTCCTCAGCAGATGGAGTAGTCAGTTATCATCAAGGCATTATATTTATTTTTTAATTTATAATAATTTTGCCTTCTAGTAGGCAGTTATATATTATTATAACATTACATTATTATTATGTGTATATGCTCTAAATATTTTTTCACAGATTTTTGTAGTTCATGGAAGCCACAGAGAAATGTACGCATAAAAGTACTTTGAGATATCTCTGTATTTTAAGATGCCAACATCTAATCAGCAGGTAACAGTAAATACATTATGTCCTTGAGTCATCTTCACGTGATTTCCCCTCATTATCAAATATGCCCTTATGTGTCCCTCAACTGCAGTGACGTGTTATGAAAGCGAACTGTTTATATACAGTATATCCACTGGCATATCAATTAATGTATTAGTATGTGCTATTAAATTAGTGGTTTGATAAAAGTTAATATGTCATAATAACCCTGATTGTTGAATCAACAATGTAATAATGACACCATACTAAAGACATCACCCTCCCCAGCCACTTCTGTTCTCCCTGCTGCTGTCTGGCAAGAGATACAGAAGTATCCGCTATCATACTGCCAGACTTCAGAGCAGCTTCTTTAACCAGGCTTTGAGACTCCTTATTCAATCTCAGCACTGCACAATGTAAAACAATTTTATCTATATGACTTGTTATTTATCCATCTACAATATAATTTTTGTATATAACGTTTGTTTTTGTGAAAGACTGAATCTCTAATAAAATACAGTAATTCTGACCAGTGGGCCACCATATTGTTCCTACCATTTCATCTCCTTTTATATTCATTGTGCCCATTCTTATCATGCTATTCATCTCTCCTTTTCTTCTCTTCGCGAAAGGTTTCCAGGATGTCCATGTGATGATCTTTGTTGGATTTGGCTTCCTGATGACATTTCTCAAGCGGTACAGCTTCGGAGGAGTGGGTTTCAACTTCCTCATCGCAGCCTTTGGCCTCCAATGGGCGCTGCTAATGCAAGGCTGGTTCCACTCCCTGGACTACACTGATGGAAAGATCAAAATTGGAATTGAAAAGTAATTGTTCAGTTTTAGTAGGATAGGATAACAAGATAGTTCAATGCTCAAACTAACGTAACTGTTCTTGAATAAGTTCATCCTTAGCCAAAATAAATGAATAAAATGTCTCATGTTTGGCCACTACATTTTGACATTCTTCCCTCCTCAGCCTGATCAATGCTGACTTCTGTGTGGCGGGCTGCTTAATTGCCTACGGGGCAGTGCTTGGTAAAGTCAGTCCAGTCCAGCTGATGGTTCTGACTCTGTTTGGGATCACATTGTTTGCTGTGGAGGAATATATTATCCTGAATCTCATACATGTAAGTTGAAACAATTTTTCAATCAGCTGCATCAGTGAAAGACCTGATTGAGAGAACACATCAGAGAGATCCTGGCAAACGACCCCATTGAGGTCAGAACTGAAGAAGTCCTTTGGATGGGGGACGAAAGATTTCTAGTATCTTCAACCAAGTCCAGTTGCCCTTGACTTTGACCTTCTGTGGATAACTATGACCTGGATGACTGAGAATCTTCCCAGACATCAGAGACAAACACAAAATAGCTGTTGATTATACTGCAGATCAAATGAAATCATTAAAGTAATCAACAAAACAATCTCAAGAGAAACTACAGCATTTTTTGCCCCCCAACTATTGTTTGCGTTATGTAATTTTTCAATCAGATTTTACTTTCAAGATTCAAAATCCAATTTGATACATTTTATATAAAGAATATAAATCAGAAAGTAGTGTCAGTTCTCCAAGTATAACCTTTGGTAATGAATCTACTACAATAAAACACATGAAGTACTAGCAAGCACCTCATAACATCCTTGTAACTGTAACAAATTTATCCACTGCTACTTCAACTACTACAAAGGCTAATTTTCTCACCTGAAGGCCAGAGATGCTGGAGGCTCCATGGTGATCCACACATTTGGAGGATATTATGGTCTTTCTATATCGTGGATGCTCTATCGGCCAAATTTGAACCACAGCAAGCGTCTGCAGGGCTCCGTTTACCACTCAGATGTCTTTGCTATGATTGGTGGGCATGATTTAATTACATAATGATTTTTGTTTTTACTTTCTCAATACTTCCCATTATTCAGGAGGTACTCTGGGTCTGCTAGATTTTTCTGGTCCTTTCATCTCTATCTCCACCCTGCTCTCTGCATAGGCACTCTCTTCCTGTGGATGTTTTGGCCCAGCTTCAACTCAGCCATCACAGGCCACGGGGACGGGCAGCACAGAGCAGTCATCAACACCTACCTGGCATTGGCTTCAACTGTGCTCACTACTGTGACCATCTCGAGCCTCACCCAGAAGCATGGAAAACTAGACATGGTAATGACCAGCACTTTTTGTTTTTTCGTCAGTCACAAACACACATAAAATTAAGCTATTATTTTTGATGGACATGATTAAGATAATACAATCTGTGTGGATTTGTCAAATGGACATTATTTACGTGAAATGAATCCCTTTGTCTAATTGTAAAACATGACGCGCATGACTTGCACCCCACCTGAACAAACCGAAACTTTGATGGGGTGCTAACTTTTGACCTGCACAGTGGCCACATCATTCAGTAAAGACAGGTCAAGCTGACAGTTTCTTCTGTGACTAGCAGGCACATTTCTTTGTTGCTTATTTCTCAGGTTCACATCCAGAACTCCACCCTTGCTGGAGGCGTTGCAGTGGGAACTGCAGCAGAGTTCATGCTGATGCCCTACGGGTCTCTGATAGTAGGGTTCTGCTGTGGTATCATCTCCACACTGGGATACATCCACCTCTCGGTATTCTGTGTCTTGTCTTGTCTTGTCTAGCTATTATGAGATAAGCTTCAGTTTAGCCTCTGAAAGTCTTCAATAATCAATAAGGGGAATTTTTTAATGCTCAGCTGTCTGATTTCTTTTCGCATCTATCTCAGCCTTTTATGGAGAAGCACCTGAAGATCCAGGACACGTGTGGAATCCATAACCTGCATGCCATGCCAGGAGTCGTAGGTGGGATTGTGGGAGCCATTACTGCTGCAGCTGCAACAGAGTCCGTTTATGGCCATGAAGGGTGAGTGGTCCTTTCTTACAAACAGGAAACCAACAGCCAGATGTCATGGTAGCCTTTTTAACTAAATGGATGGATACGTATCAACCAGTAAAGGGCCACAAAAAGAAGTATTTGTATTCTTGTGGTCAAATATGGTCTTTTGTTCTGAAAGAACAACATTGTAAGTTGCTCCTTTTTTGTGTTAAAGGCTGATTGAAACCTTTGGCTTTAAAGATGGTTTCAAACACAGGACACCCGCAGTGCAGGGTGGCCACCAGGCTGCAGCCCTCTGTGTGGCTCTCTGCTTTGCTGTAGGCGGAGGCATCATTGTGGGTAAGGAATAACCACTGCACACACCCTTCAGTTTGACCATGTAAGTGGAAATGTACAGAATGTATGTAAATAACAACACAATATCTGGGATATTACTTTGTTTGAAAAAGATGGGAGTGTTTACACACCATGGATGAAGGAGTGCATGTGTTGGGATGACTACTTAATTATTGTTCTTTTTCTCAGGTTGTATCTTAAGATTACCTATCTGGGGAGATCCTGCAGATGACAATTGTTTCGATGATGAGGTCTACTGGGAGGTGAGTGACAACTCTTTACAGCCCTAAGGAGGTTTTTACAGTTTGAAACAGAAATATCCATGTCAAATCACAATTCAGTTCATCCCGCAGGATTTGTGAAGTTGCATAAAATGAATACCAGATATCTCAAAGATCACATGTTTTTATAATGTTTGACAACTGTAGTTCAATTAAAATACAGTTAAGTGAATGAGTTTGGAGACTCATCCTTTTTGGGAAACAACCTTGATTAATCAGCAGCACCAATGTTGATTGGAGGCTTTTCATTTCATCCAGTTTGATCTGACTGGAAGATGTTTGAGTAATTCTTTACTTTGCGAGAAAATTGAACAAAAGTCCAGCTGTGATGCATTACATAAGAAAGATCCAAAGATCCTATGTGTATGTTACATGAAAACAGACTGTGATTTGCAGTCTTGACAAACCAGAAACATTTTTTACCCTGAGGCTGTTCTTCCACTCATTATGTAAGTTAGTGAAGGGGCTACTGTCATTCTGCCACCTCTATGAGCACTTAATAGAATCATATGTTTGTTGTTGGTCAATCATGTGGTTATCATTCCCCCTGAGTCATTATGTTCTCTAAATGGTTCACAGGTTCCTGAGGATGAAGAGGATGCACCAGTCCCTCCGTACAACAACCACATGCGGAACAAAAATGTGTAAGGGTTCCTTTAGTTTATCTGACAATAATTTTCTGGAACTGGAGATGTGCTTACACCAAACAAATAATGCGAGTAGTGCCCTTGTTGTCATGAAATGTGTTTCCTCTTCCTCTCATTCATTGTCCTCTTGGTGGCAGCAGAGGACAATGAATTTGTGAAAACTACATGTGACTCATTGCAAAATCAGGATGCAGGTATAGACAACATGGCACCACTGCCACAGAGGCCTGTGCCTTCCCTGTAACTCAGTGTGAACTAGATTATGAAATGCTGAGGTGGACCCTGTGTTCTAGTCTGTTTGTTGATAGGGGATTTTTCACAGCAGAGCTCCTATGCTCTTCAAAGTGACCTTGAAATAGTACAACAGAAGTCATGTTTACTGTGGAAATTAATATGATACTTTAAGATAAAAACTGATTTGTGAGTATATAAGGTGTCGCTGCTCACTCCTTATGTAATGCCTTTTTGTTTCAGAGCGGAGTCAGATTTCTCCATGGAGAGGAGCAGACCTTGATCCTGATGGAGCTCTCTGTCTTTATCATACATGGCCCATTTGTTTCTTTTGTTCTCCTGCTGGACAGAAATACTTATTTGATACAATTATTCCCCACCAATCAAAAACAGTTATTTTTTATACAGGGAAAGTACACCAATCAGGTATAACATTATGACCACTGACAGGGGAAGTGAATAGCACTGATGATCTCATTAGCAAGGTCAATGGGTGGGATACATCAGGAAGCAAGTGAACACTGTGTCCTCATAGCTGACGTGTTAGAAACAGGAAAAATGGGTAAGGATTTGAGTGACTTTAAAAAGGGCTCAACTTTGATGGCTAGATGTCTGGGTCAGAGCAACTCTAAAACGGTCTGAAGTGGTCAGTACCAATTAAAAGTGGTCTAAGGAAGGAAAAGCGGTGAACCGACCTAACAGACAAGCTACTGTAGGTCAAATTGTTGAAAAAGCTGATGTTGGCTTTGATAGAAATGTGTCAGAGTCCATGCCTCAAAGGGTCAGGGCATTTTTTTGGCGGCTAAAGAAAGACCTACATTGTGACGAGCAGGTGGTCGTAATGTTATGGCTGATTGCTGAATGTCTGTTGTGTAGCCTAGAATTGAGTTTTTAAAATCTTGTTTGAATTGACAAATCTTCAGGTGGTAGATATTTTCAATTTTTTCAAGATATTTATCAAAATCAATGAATATTCAAGGTAAAATCTGGTAAAATTTTAAGAGAATACACAGACTTTTAGGGACATTTTTGCTGTCAGCTTCACTTGTAATATGTTTATTTGCACAATTGCATCTTATCCTTTATTATTGCCATTAAAAACAGAACTCAAATGATTTTGCAATGGTAATGAAAAAATGAAAAAAGATTTATTACTAAAGCATCATTATTGCATGACGTGTTGTGCCCACTTGATTTGAATTTAACAAATAAAGTGTATTTTTTAGCAATTGACAACCTTTAACCACTTTTAGAAAATAATGGATTAAAAAAATCAAGATTTACCAATAAAAAAAGTCAAAAAGGTCTTCTGTTCCCGTCATTTAAGAGCCTTCGGTCTCCCCTCTCAAGTGGGTTCAAACTGAGGGTAAAGGTCACACCCTTATTGCTCTCTCGGGACACTGTGGTGACCACAAACAAACTAGAGACCAGCTTCATCATCGTCACCTTGGGTGCAAGAGAAGCTAGAGGGAAAGGTCACTGACAGGGCTGCGCACATATGCTGGAGTCAATCATTTTAAACTGATCGGGTGCTAATGTTTGAATTGAGTATAAATGTGAAGGAGTAGATTAATTTCAAGAGATGCAATCTTTCATTGAATGGAATGGAAATAGTGAATGTCATTTCACTACGCAGTTTATTTGATAATCAGTCTTTCTGTGCATCATTTTGTGATGAAGGCTGTAAATTCCATGTGCTCCTTGTTCTGTCCACCTGGCTGCGGTGTTTCATTGGTCGAAGGCAGCAGCAGCAGCAGCAGCAGCAGCAGCCGCAGCCCACGGTGGGAGTGTGAATGATTCCCACACATGAGTAGCAGCGAGGAATCCGTCTCCTCGTTCAGTCTCCCTGCTAACAAAGGCAGGCTTAGTGCTGTTTTCTTTTGTCATCAGTAACGTGTTTGAGTAAAGGAGGTAATGGTGCCACAAGTGCTCCAATTAAACGAGATGCAGCCCTGCTGGGAAGAAAGGGTCCCCCATTGCCTTCGATACCCCCCTAATACATACACACACATGTACACGCACACACACAAACCGGGCCTCTTCTCACCCACCCCCATGCAGTTCCCGCCCCTACTCTACTCATGTTTATTCATCAGCCACTTAAAGGGCAAAAGCAGAGGCCTGTTAAAACTAAATCAGACTTATATATTAATGATACCACGGCTTCCCCTCTGGGGTTGAGGGAGCCATGCCTTATGACATCATGGCAGCCAAGTTTGAAGATGTTTACCCTCCTTTGGACAGATACTGACCACAGATGTGACTTCCACAGGAGACAACACAAACTGTACTGGGATGGCAGGGGGGTAAGGGGGGGGGGGGACAGAGAGGCCACAGAGAAGGTGAGATGGAAAAACTTCAGGAGGCAAGGGGGCATGAAAAGGGGGGAGGGACAGACAGAGAATGAGGCCTCACTTTCACTACTGATGGCTGACCGCCTGCCATCCGGGCTCAATCATGATCTTTGATTGACAGGTGGAGGGAAGGAGAGGGTGGGAAAGAGTGTGCAGGACGAGAGCTTAGGACGCGAGCACAAAACATACTCCCATACAGGGGCCTGCGGAGACGCTCATTAATGATAAAGAACATACCAGGAAAGGCATGTTTTTTCTGCACGCCAGCGATGTTGTTTGTAGGTCGAGATTAGTTTGTAACCTTTTCTATGCATGGTGATGTAAAATGTACAGAACACTACAGGGATAAGCACAACGTGGGAGGTCGCGTCAGAGCACCTGGTTGTGGCTATTTGGCTTTTTGTTTTCTTATTTGTCATTATTCTAAGAAAACAGCATGATATGTCTGATAGTGATTATTCTGCCTGCCAACATATTCATCTGACTGTTTTAATTCTGCAGTTTATGGATATGTGTCAGTCACTCTGTGGTAAAACTCCACTGAACTCACTTTACAGGATTTACAGCGGTTAGCGAGGTATTCAGGGATCCATGTTCACTCCCTTATAAAGAGAGCAGTTAAAGCCCCCATTGAAAGCAACCACAAGTCCATAGAACTGTTCATAAACTATTCAAGCGCTTTCTCCTTTCTCTCAATACTTTCTCTCTGTACGGCTTCAGTGTCCCCTAAAGGTTACTTCTCAGCAGGTGCATCTGACTTCCAAAGCCTCTCTGATCATTTGGATCTTGACACCCAATCGTGACACTTATTGAGTGCCTTAATTTCATCAGTCCTGCCCTCATCACCAGTGCTGGAAAGTAACCAAGGTCAAGATGAGAGTAAAGATTTTACATTAAAAAACAAACATACGATACACATGTATAATACAGTGTATTGGCTCCTAATCTTTTTGGCTCAGCATGGCCCAGTTGAGGCCCTTCGTCACGTTTCACGACTTGTTAGCAGTTCCACCAGAGTGGTTTCCCTTCTGAACTTCTCAAATCATTTCATTTAAACTATTGTTTGAGCCCAAAGAGGTCAAACGATCAATTATTTCACAAATATAATCAAAGATAAGAGAAACGTTGCAAAAAAATAATACAAATTTTTGAAGCTAAACACTGTCAGATTATTAAAGGATTAGAAAAGAAGAAAAAACTTCTTTTCTAATCCTTTAATAATCTGACGAACTCTCAGATTTGTTGGTTGTATTTACTCAAGCACTGCACCAGTGCACACACATATTTTAACTTTTTATGCATCACATTTATTTGACAGCTATAACTTTACAGGTTAACATTTTTCCTGCAAAAGATCTAATCAGTTCTTGAAACATGATACACTGTTAACTTTGATAACAACTTTGATACTTTGATACTCTTAAGTAACAATTTGAGTGCAGACTTTTACTTTCAATGGAGTGTATTTACACTATATTATATACTTTTAATTAAAAGCTCTGAATACTTCTTCCACCACTGGACCCAACTCTTAAGGTGAGAACCACTGATACTTGAATGTATGCTTCTACAAAATAGTTAAGATCAGCTTCATCTTGGCCAACTACACTAGCACAATACTGCTAACACCAATGCATCAGTATTAACAATCTATATCTATATAATATAACATAAGAAGGCATTTTCTGCAGAACCAGTAAGGTTTACTGATAATACTTTGCTGATGTACTTTTCCTTAACTAGGCTTTTAAATGAAGGATTTCTACTTGTAGTGGAGTATTTTTATATTGTTGTACTGGTTCATGCACTTGAGTAAATGATCTGAATACTTCTTCCTCCACTGCCCAACATTTTCCCCCCTTCTGTTTGCAACCTACTGTTGAGCCTCCCAGCTCTGCCCGCCCCAGGTATCCACAGGCCTCCCTACACCAACTGACTGTCCACAGAGGCTGCTTAAGTGTCCCTATCGGACCACAGTGGAGAGGAACAGCAGATTAACCATGATCCTATCCGCTCACCGCTAGCCCCTTCATACGCTCCGTTACACCAGCATTTAAAGGGAGGAGGGGACGCCATTCAGGCCCCTGATATGAATCCCAGACGCAGGGACAAGAACAGAGCTTTCACCCCTGTTTCACAGAAAATACCCCTTTCTGGCACCCTCTAATTCTGGTTGCTACGGGCTTCTGGGTTCAATGGTGGACTCCCGTTGTGAGGGGACAAAGCCCCTCAGTCATCCGGTGATGGTTGCTAGGGGAGGTAGAATGTATGGGGAGGGACGGGCTGCCGTTGTCCCACACGAAATGTCTCTCTTATGGCGGACGAGATCAGGTGATTGACAGGTGGCTACACGCTCCACTGCGGCTCAACCGGGAGGTCTAGGGGGCCTTACATGTGTGACTCTGTCTGTCTGTGTGTGTGTGTGTCTGTGTGTGTGTGTGTGTGTGTGTGTGTGTGTGTGTGTGTGTGTGTGTATCAGTGTGTATATGTGTCTCAGGCAGGATATGTTGGTTTGGCAGAGTGAACAGAGAGTTGGAGGCGTAGTCTGGTAGGTTTCTGCCATTATGAAAGTGGCACCATTCGGTACCTGTAGAGGGAGCTCCTTCTGCTTCAAATAGATCCATATCCCTCTTTAATAATCTACTGTGCTCCTGTTCTTGCCCATGAGCCTGGCTGGCAGTGGTGGAAGCCATTAGAGCACCAGTACATCAATGTAAAAATAAAGTACAAGTCCTGTAAAACACCATCTTAGGTAAAAGTACAGAAGCATTATCATCAAAATGTACTCAAAGTATCAAAAGTAAAAGTAGTTCTGCAGAAGAATGGCCTGATATTATATGACAGTATTAGATTCTTAATAGTTATGCATTAGTGCATGAGCAGCATTTTACTGGTGGATCTAGTTTTAACCACATCATATAGTTTGGTGGAAATGAACGGCTAACAATTCAAAGATACCTGAAAATGTGACAGGGGCTCCCAGTTGGACACTTTAGTTTTGGTAAGGGGTCACAAGCCAGAAGCCTAAATGCAGAATCTATCATTCAACATTTTCCAAACAAAGTTTAGTGAATTAGCCATATTGGTCATTTGGTATTTTTCAATGAACATCAGTCAATAAAAAGATAGAAGTTAAAAGATTTATTAAAAAGTCAAAAGAAAACAGCTATAGGGCCTAGTAATGGGCTGTACATGGTTAGTACAAGTCCACTGTATACTGAATATTGTCTTGTTTTGGTGCGTCTTTGGAACTGCAGAGATGAATATTGATAATAAGTGTACAGAAAATCTATATACACATAATAAAATACAGTAGTGTATGTACAAGTATGTTATACAAGTGAGCATACTGCAGAAATCAGTAGTAAGATGTTGGATAATAATAACAATATTGAACAAAACATTACAGTTGTGGTTATGGTTTGAAAGTGCAAAAGTACAACAAACATTACTGAATGAGCAGAGACTAACAGAGACATACAATTCGTCCTTGTTTAAGTAAAAAAGAAGAGCTTCGCTGTCGGAGCTAAAGATAAAAGCTTTTGTGCAAGTGAGACAGACGTTGTTAATCAAAAGGGAAATTTAAGGCTGTGGGTTTGTTTATCACCATCAAAAGGATTAGTGACATTCAGATTTGCGTCTCTCCTCCTCCAGCCTGGGAACCATTACCCCGCCGGTCTCTAGACATTAGCGGCCCCTGTTTCCCCCTCCAGGGCCACGGAGGTGAGTGGGAACAGACAGGGCAGGACGTGAGGATCTAAAGGGGTTCACACACGACACGGTCTCCCCTCAGATAGACATCTGGGAGTGTCTGGGTTCTTCACTCCCAGACAGGGAGCCCTTCCACTCGTCAGATGTTCCCCACGCCCATCCCCATCCCCATCCCCCTTCGCCTTGACCTTGACTCTCTGTCACCATGGCCCTCCAGACAGTCTGGGGTCAAAGGCTAACA